TCCGTACATCACGTTCTACCAGTATCCGGCAGTTTACCGGATATGATTAGTGACACGGAACGCTACGTAGCTTTGGCAACGAAATTCAAGCAAAAAGCCAACGATGATGCGAATGAGGTGCATTTTCTTAGTTTCTGAAGCAATAAAACCAATTAGTTTACCTCATTTAACTCGATAAATCATGCGAAAAAACTAGAAAGCAACCCGAATGTTAATACTTTGTTACCAGCACCCATTTTAGGCGTTGTAATATGTTTAAGAAACAAGCTAAGGTTGATCTGGTTGAGGTTGCAAAGTTGTAAAAACCGAAAAATCACCGTTCATTTTATAATAGCTTTTCAAGCTCGTACTGATGGATCAGATGCTGCATTTTAGTGACAGTCTTAAAAAAATACTTATTGGTATGGTACATATTTTATTAGAGGTTCAGCCCATAAAATGCTTTGCAGTCATTTTACTGTTTATTAAATTTTTACTTTACTAATCCTTAATTTTTCGCCTCAAAACTCTGCAGCCGATGTAAAAAGCCTCTTTTAAATTTAGTGGACGAAAACATTCCATGTACTTAGTGTTGTAATAGGAAAGGTAGAAAGAGCCATGGAGACCCAGCCAAAAAGTAATCATTCCAAATAGGAATGTCTGCGTTGTGCTAGACGAAGGTTGGTAATAAAAACCTCAGTATCATGAGTGACAGTGTAAAATATGTGGGTCAAAAACCTCCTATGAAGTCGTAAAAATCTGGAGATGTTAAACTAACGTAAAGGAAAATGGATAGTCCTGGAGAGGCCGCATCGGATGAACTTATAAAAGGTTTTTTGGGGTCACTGAATGGCCAAACTGAAGCTTTGAAACAGCGGCCAATCCAAGCCCTAGATAACAAAGGGTATAGTTGTATCCGGCTTGTGAAAGCATCGCAGTAACATCACGGTATCCTTCCACTAGCTGTGCTGGAAGCTGTGGTGTCCGTAGTATTTTATGAGTTTGAACAACTGTGAGTTCGTTATTGTGCTCTTTATTGGCATCGGTGCAGTAAATAAAATAAGTAATCTTAACATTTCTGGATTTTTTCCAGCATAAATTATCTTTTACCTTGTTTAGGTACTGTTTCATGCACGCGCACTCCTCGCGTACATGGATTTGCCGCATGATTTGATCAAGTATAGCGATTGTCAACAGTTCTGCAAAGATGCTGCCATGATGCGTATACAGCACGGAACCAGCATTGCTCAGGAATCAGAATCATCCCTGGAGGTAACAAAGTATTGATAAGTCATCTGCTTCCATGAACTGTGAAGTTGATGGACAATCTGAAAAGGAACAAAGCGGATTCTCATACGCTCTTCCTCCCCCTTCGCTGTGTGCTTTTCCGTCAGATAAAAAAATCCTTTTTTTTAAAGGATGGTAGGAATAAAAGCTACTAAATTCATGCTTTAATAGCCCTCTATGACTTCAAGAAAGGGAATGGGGAGGAAGGGTTCTTGTCTAAGGAAAAAAATTCGCCTTTCCCCTCTTCAGAGAAAAAAAAAGTCCTGCTGAAGCCTTTATTTTTGAAGCAGAGTAAGTGATAAATGTAAAAGAACGTTGTGAGATTAAAAGGTAGAAATAATAGTTCATATGAGTGTATGTTGTGTGAATGTTGTTCTACTGTTTTAATTTCCAGGACATTTTTTGTGATATACGAAATGCGGATCTCACACCAAACACGGTAACGGGTGTTCCTCAGATACCACCAGCTGTCTGGTATATATTGCTACGTGCCATTGACAGGTGCTTCTTTTTTCTTCATGTGCAGTTACATGTGTTGGTTCTGATATCTATAAGATTGGAAACTTTGCTAAAACATGGCGAAATTCTGCGATTGTAAATTAAATACAAATATTGGGGTATTCTACGAAGCGTGTTGCATGATTTGTAAAAAGTAGAAGGTATAGATTGTAGCCAAAATATACCCGGAAACAGAATTCTACGTAGCACACCGGGAATTCAGGCGTACCGCATTATAACGCTGGAGTTTTACATCACCCGTTAATGCATGATGATTTTGGCTATTAGCGCCGGCGAATTAATATTTATCGTTTTGCACTACAACATTATGATTAGGCTGAAAATGGAGGCAGCAGAGGACAATCCATACGCTGTGCTACATTTTTTTAGTTTTTTTTTTTCTTGTTGTAATAAAAAAGTGGGAAAAATTTCGGTATTAATCTTGCAGATTTTGCTCTTGTTCTAAGTTTTTGTTCAGGCGGCCTAGGACATTGGTGATAATCACAAGCATTAACTATGATGGATTGTTATGTTTCAAATCCCATAAATCTTTCTACAAACAGTTTGAGCACAGATTAGCACGCATCTCTTAGAACAGTTGTTTTAATGAAAAAAACTTGTCCGTTTTTGTCTCAGTCTAGAATTTCAAAGCAATTTAACGGTTGTCTGTTTAATTTGAACTAAATTCTAAATATCAATTCAAGTTTTCTTTAAAAATTTGCCTTAACCTTTCGTCCTCTTATTTTTCAAATCCTAATTTAAGCCTTTGTTTTATAATTTTTAACAAAGTTAATATGCACCTACAGGTAAAGGGGAACATTTAGAATATTCCATGTTTTTTTGTTGTTTTAGGTTCCATTCCGAGAAAGCACGATATCCAGGAACAAATGGTGTGCCTTGTGCTATAGATGCCTATGATCTTCGAGGGAGAGTGGTCAGTATAATTGTTGATAGCCAAGTATGTCTGATTTTTTATTTATTTTTTATTACTAAACCTGAAAAACTTCGCCGTGCTTCCCTGTCTATGAGTTTGAAGCTGCGATGTCATTAAAATCTCCCCTCCTCCCTCCTGCTTCCCTCCCTCTCCCTCAAGTCGGGCTTAGGTCCGTCAAGCCCATCCATCCTGAGTTACAAGTCTCCCGTTTTTGATTACGGTTTGTACTGCGTAAGTACAATATTTTTTCTTTTTCGAGAGCCTTCAAGTGCTTATTTTCCTTCTTAAAAGTACCATTCGCTGATCAGCCATATTCATTGAAAAATGTTTGGTTTACTCAGTGGTTGTCAGCAAAACAGATATTTCTTTTTTCTCCCCTTTATCATCTCCGTTTTCCGCCAGATTATTCGTTTTCGATGTTTCCGCGCAACCTCTTGCGGTTTTTCAAAATTCGCTTGTTTGCAGATAATCGATAGAAGTGAAGTTGCCGAAAAGATTCCACAGTCGGCTGTTGAGGAAATGTGCCGTTATGGTGCCGGGGAGCCGCACGTTATAGCTGCGCTAATTGGTGGCATCGCTTCACAAGAGGTGATCAAACTGGCCACGCATCAATACGTCCCGCTTGATAATACCCTGATCTTTGATGGCCATACGCAGCAGTCACGAACATACCGACTTTGAGTTTTAGTATTTTAAATCAGCAAAGCTGATTCACATAGGTAACGCTAATGGAAATGAAATTTGTTCATCAAGAAAGCCGATTTTTTATTTACTCATCGAATACTGTGTTTGCTTTGCAGATAAATTAATGCAAGTGCTTCAAATTAACATTTTTTTTTTTTGCAGTTGATGATTTGTTATGTTAATTGTTATGTTTTGCTTGATTTCTGTCTGCAAAATATCCCTGCAGTTTTGAACTATCTTATCAGGAGCCTATGCAGGGTTTTGGCTAGATGCGCGCAGGTTAGATGCTTTTTGTGAAGGAATTTTGCTAGTGGCGTATGCAAGAGGAAATTTGAGACGTTATGGGAGGGAAAAGAAGAAAAGCGCGGAGTGATTTACTTAGCACATATGTTTTTTTTTTGGTTTGTTTTTGCCTTAGCGCTGTTGCTACATTCAAAAATTAGCGAATTTCATATCAGATAATATATAAGTAGGGAATCAGTTTGTATTTCAGCCTATATGCTACATACATGGGAACATTGAGCAGAAGAGAATTAGTTTTTTTGCGATTTTATGCTTTAGTGATTAGCTCAGAGGCAAGAAAAGTGATACATAAATGCCACGCATACCACTCATTTGCACTTTTCTTCAACCCTCTCCTGTTCAGGAAACTTTGAGGTGTAAAATAAGTTCGTACTCCCACACGCCCCTATTGAGCCTTTTGAGTAATACAGGCCAGAATATACGTTTTCTTTACATAGATCAGTTGCTTTACTTGAAATTTTTGTCTCGCCAAGAGGATTTTTCGTCTTTTTTAGACTTTCCCTTTTCATTAATTCCAAAAAGTGGCTCTGAATTTGTAAAAGTGATTGAAAACTGGACAAGAATCACTATTTTCTCCTTATTTTACTCAATAAAAAATCATGATAATTGGCATCGTCCCAGGCGGTGGTATTTTGCCAGAATAAGTGAGCGGTTTTTATGAATTTTTTGAAAATAGGTTACGAATCTGCCATAGGATTAGAAAAACAAAATGGTCTGTGTGTGAAACGTTATAGTTGTACTCACATTTCGGGGTTGTACATATGTTATATTTTTTTTTTATGAAATAATAGCCATAATGAATGCATCGTATTTTTGGCAACCAACAGTTAATTTCGTTTCGTTCCTGGATCGATGAAAGGATTTGGATTCGGCTGTTTGCTGATTTGCTTTTCACGTCGGTCCGGATGGAGGTTGTCCTTCGAGCTCAACAAAGATGACCCTGAATTTTAATAACTTCATAGTTGACTAGTACAGATAGCGAAAAGTGGCAAAATTCTTGCTTTCTCATTTTTCGGTGTTTTCGTAAGCTTTTCGGAAAAAGGTAAGCCACCTGTCTCGTTTTTTCTTTCCTCTCCGAAGCTTCCTATTCGTTCATGATATTTTTGCCCTGAAAATAATCATTCAGCATACAGGCTCATAAAAAAGCCAAAATACCAAGAACAAATCTTACATAACTCTTTTAATTTTGTGTAGTGGATCTGCCTTGGTCTTTAAGGTACCCCACTATCGTTTATGAGCGGTGCATTCGGGCCGAAGTAACGATGCTCCATACAAACAATGACGAGATGGGGAACAGTTAAAAATTTACCGTCTATTTTTGTTGGAAAAGTCGTTGAGACTTTTATTCCGTTAAAGATCCCCACCAGTGGACTAATCATACGTGACGCGGCATTGATCAAAGCAAATGGAAGAGTTGTCGGCTGCATAGTAGGAAATAATCATAACATCGAAGTGTGGCGTACCTGTCTTGTAAAAACCAGCATCGCGAATTTGTTCATATGTGTTCCCAATTCTGTCGTATTGTGCGAAACCTGGGCGCACAAATTCATTTTTTTTTTAATTTACATACAAAATGATATTATAATGATAAGTAAAGAATCACCACAGGCATCATCCCGGACTGCTGCTCCCTGTTCGTGTGTAGCGACACACAGAGAGAAGCCTACAGATGTGGCTGGAATGGTGTTTTTATAATCGTTATTTACAAATTCATTTCTTGGGATTTCGGCCATAAACATTGTTTTTTATTTAGCAAACCCCATCTTTTGCTTTTGGCTGCCCCAGATGTGTGGAAGCGTCACAGTAACACTGCTAACGCAGGATCTCTGCGCCAGCTGATTAGTTTTTTTCAGAAATACCAAGGAGAATAAAAAGAGTACAAATGTGCGCAGTGCAAGAAATTTTCAGGAACTCTCGTGTGAAAAAATTTTTTGTCTTCCCAGGAATTTCGTGGAAACGCTCTCATTTTCTTCCGTTTTAATCATATGTGGGGGAGAACAGTTGGACATCCCAGTGGATGGCCAAAACTTCTCTGGAATAACCTTGTCAAAGCAATTTTCTGATGTAACAACTCGGAACCCACATAAGTAGCTTAGCCAATTATCAATTAGTACAAAAAATAACTAGTACAAAAAATAACTCGTGAAAAATAACTCAGTTTTCTAAAACGTTCAACATTTGCCAAGAGTATTAAAACAGCCCGAGCAACCAGTGTGGGTATTCCATGCTAGTGATATTACTGCGGTGCTCCCAACTTGAACGAAGCTACGCCGGGCTTTTCGATCCTAAGTTACTTCAAATTTTATCCGAGTAGAACTTACAAAAATGGTTGCAACAGCAGAAGCAGCAGATGATCAGAATGATAGGTGCAGCTAGCATGATGAGTAATGCAACACATTTCGTGAAGAGGAAGAAAGAGATTGAGGAAAAACTTTTTTTCTAAGAAATTATTTATCTTTTTGTTAGGTGGAAATGTTAGCCTTTATGGAAGGAGCTGCTTTTTTTTTAGTGTCATTTTTATCAGTTTGTTTTGTTTTTGCCATCATTAAATCAACTGTTAAATTTTTATATGCGTGCCTTTTATCACTTTATACGCGAAAAAAAGTCAGCGAAAAATTTTTCGTAGTTTGAGAGTGAACAGTCACGAAATATACGTGTTCTGTTAGTGGCATATGGAAGGATTTTCTCAAGAGAAGGAAGGAGGAGTAAAGCGTAACAACAGTTCACATGCTCCGGGCGCGAGATTTGAGCGCAGAACCTAGCACGTCCTCGCCCTTTCATCTCCAAAGCACAGAATTTTAACAAGACATCGTTTGTTGATGCTTGATATCTGTTGTGGAGGAGGAATTGCTTTTTTGGTTCCTCAGGTCACTTTACCCCACAACAAATAATTGTATTTCTGGTTCGTTTTCCTCAAGCATCCAGTGCGCGTTAGTTGGGAACTTACACTGCTGGCAAATACTAATAAATTTCCTCGACATAGTTGGCTCACGGGCAGCGTGAATACCACCAAACATCGATTTTCAGGTCAGCTCAAGTCATTTCTTGATACCAACTGCAGCCCCATACGTTATATCGTCTCTTAGTTCAAACCTGGGCAATATAACCTTAATTATTTACGTACAATGTGCGCGACACGAACGAATACCGTGAAACACAAGAATACGGCACGCATCCAAAAATATTACGAGCATGAAAAGCAGTGGTGCCTGGTCTTTCATCGCCTGTAGCTGTTGCCCATCCCTCGTCGTCGATCCACTGTCCTCCGTCGTCGAAGCCGTTGTTAAAATGACAAAATCACTGGCGACGCGTACCAGGCAGGCCCGTGCGACCATGCGTTTTTGCAGTGTTTCGTGCTGTAATGAGATCGCTCAGGAATCAAGTAACTAGGATTAGTGACATACTGGTCCTCGAAGTTCAGGAAGTTAATTGTCTACGCGGCACTTGGACAAGGAACATTCCGCTAAAATTTCGACTTCCCAACTTCACCGACTCTTGAGTTAGCAATTTTCCTGCCAAAAAATTTCATGCGTCCGTACATGAGGACCTCACGAATCTGGTAGCTGAATTTGATATCTCTAACTTTTACGGGGCTAGGAACATACTCTTAAAATTTCAGTTCCCAGCTTCCCTGGTTTCCGAGTAACCCATGTTCCCGCCAAAAAATTTCACGGGGCCTTGCGTGATAACCATGAATGTCTGGGGGCTAAATTCGATAATTTATGTTGTACATGTGCTTGGAACATTCCCTGAAAATTTCAGCCTCCTGGCTTTCATGGCTCCCAAGCTAGTAATTTTCGCGCCAGAAAACCTCACGAGGCCGTACGCAGGAACCACGCACCCCCTGTAGGCTGAATTTGGAATCATTCAGTTATATGTGGACGGGGAACATAATCTCAAGATTTCACCTTTCTAGATTTTCTGGTTCCTGATTTAGCGATTTTCCCGCAAAACTTTCACTCTCTTATACATGGGGCCCAGACATGCATGAGGGTCGGTACAGTGGTACTGGGGCGACAATTGGTTGGAGAACCTACCGTCAAAATTTTGGCGCCGGAGCTCAATTAGGAGCCGAGTTGAAATACCCGGACAGACAAACGCACACACATACATACATACATGCTTACATACCTTAATACACACGCGCCGGGGTCGCCACAATATGGGTTTCTGCATTAGCACATATGCAAAAAAACATAAACCCCCAGGCTGGAACGCACCAAGAGCCGGTGCGATCACATGTTTTTGCACAGCCGGTGCGATGTTTGAATAAGGTTAACTGCATGAACGGTTGCTTCTTCACACTTACCTTGTGTGCTTGATGCCGAAAATCATCGTCAATTTTGCATAAAAAGGAATAAACTATTTCAGTTTAGCGGTGTTTTTTGAAAATAACCCAACTATTCAATGAGTAATTTTCCCCGCCGGAAATTTAACTGCCCGTACGCGAGAGTCACGCGTAAACGAAGACTGAATTTGAAGATTTAAGTTTTATTTGGATGGGGGAATATTCTCCTAAAATCTGAGCCTCCAAACCTTTCTGTTTCTCGAGTCCGCAATTTTTCCGCCAAAACTTTCACAGGGCCGCACGTGACCTAGGAGCATACTTGGGGGCTAGGTTTGGAATTTTTAAGTTGTATATAGGTTGAGAACATCCCTTTGAAATTTCAGCCTCCCAGCTTTTCTGGTTCCCGAG